ACTGATGCCCTCACATGAAAGTGTAGCCTCAAGGTCTTCACACTGACTTATAAATAAGATGTGAAACCTATTTTATCTGTGCCCTTTCCTCACTCAGTGAAGAATGGATGCAGTTTCCACCACAGTGAATCCCTGTGAAAGATATTCTGAGAGAGAGCTGAGCAGAATTCTTTCCTCAAAGGTCGCACATTTCTCCAAGAACTTTTGACTTCCTTCCTCCGAAAGAAAATTAAATAGAATATAATATCTATTCCTCAAACGATAGTTCCATTTGACAAACAAGTTTTAGAAAAGTAAAAATGGAATTAAGAATTCACCTTTCTCACATTAGAGTCAACAGTAGTCTGGACACAAACTATGAATTATGCAAATGATCAGAAAAAAATGTTAAGGAATGGAAATTACGCAAATAACCTTATGTTAATAAAAAGGAAGAGGAAGGAAGAAAGGAAGGAAGGGAGGAGAGGAGAGAGGAAGAGAGAGGGAGAGAGACAACAATGTCTGGAAAGAAAAATAATCTAAAGAACACAAGGAAATTTCCCAAAATATTTCACATTATAGAAGTTCATTAAAATATAAAGTGTTTTTAATGTTTTTGTATTAGTTAAATGTATATTAAAACATAAATAACTAACCAGAATAAGGATGGTTGCTGAAGAGGTGGGCTAAATTGTTAGCTTATTTCCTCTTCTTAACAGCACACCAATATATACCGATTGAAACAAGAGCAAGCGCCTTTATTCCAGGCCTATAATGTTTTCAATAACATTTGTTTCACAGCTTTAGTGGCATTGTTTAAAAAAGTTACGTTTTGTGTTGATGAAATGCTCTCCAAAGTACATTTTTTTTTCTGTTCCATTTCAATTTTTGGTCCATAAGTTTCAATATATGAAAGTTTCACTAAAAAACACCATGAATGATATGATCTCATTTTAAATGAGGTAGTACCTATTAGTCAACCATTGCCAAATAACGCAGCATAACAAACACCATCAAAATCATAGCAGCTTATAATGAGAATCATTCATTTCTCATCCAAGTCTCTGTGGGTTGCCGGGACATGGGTTGACTCCATGACATCGATCGGGCTTGAATATGCGCCAGGTGTGTTCTGGGACCAGTGAGATCTCTGGAGCATATTCTTCTCATTGCGATGGCAGGAGTCAGATCTGTGTAAGATCAATTGAAGCCTTAGCACCTGCTCCAGGCACTTTTATCCTGTTGGTTAGAGCAAGACATATACTAAGGATCAATTCAAGTGGGAAAATATACTCCAACCACGGCTAAGCCACGGCAAAGGTGTAGATATGGAATGCTACCACAGGAGACAGAACTGAGACTGATAATTCCATCAGACCCTCCATTGATTTATCCACGTATGTATTGCATAAAGAGCAGACAGAAATGATGTACATAGGGTGATAAGAGTTTTAGATGATTTTCTTTATTTCTTGATGTTTTTTGGAGGGAGGGGCTTTATTTCTTAAATTCTGCAGTACATGCACATATAATTTTTTAAAAATGTCTTTATTGGGAAATAATCCAAAAGTCAAAAAATTCATCCTTTTGAAGTGAATAATTCATTGGTTTTTAGTATATTCACACAACTGTCATCACTATCTAATTTCAGAATACTTTCATCACACCAAAAAGAAAACTTGTACCCATTAGTAGTCACTGCCTATTTATCCCCTTTCCCCAGCCCCTGGCAAACACTAAACTACTTTCTTTCTCTATGGATTTGTCTATCCTGAACATTTCATGTAAATGGAATTATACATTGTATGGCCTTTTGTGAATGGCTTCTTCTCCCAGGACAATGTTTTCAAGGTTCATCCATGCTGTAGCAAGTATCAGTACTTCATTCCTTTTTACTGACTGATAATACACCATTATATGGATATACCATATTTTGTTTACCCATTTATTAGTTGATGGACTTTTGTGTGGTTTCTATTTTTTGACTATTATGAAAAATGTTACTACAAACTTTTGTGTACAAGGTTTTCAATTCTCTTGAATATATAGCTAAGAGTGGAATTACTGATGCATATGTTAATTCCATATTTAACATTTTGAAGAACTGCATAACTGTTTTCCAAAGTGGCCACACAACATTTTACAATCTCATCAATAATGTATAATGGTTCCAATTTCCCCACAACACTTGTTATTGTCTGTCTTTTCGATTCTAGCCATTTTAGCGAGTGTAAGCTTATATCTCATTGTGATTTTAATTTGCATTTCCCTAAGAAGTAATGATGTTGGCTATCTTTTTATGTGCTTCTTGGCCATTTGTATATCCTTTTTTTTTTTTTTTTTTGAGAAATGTGTATTCAAGCCCTTTGCTCATTTTCAATTGAGTTATCTTTTTATTGTTGAGTTGTAAGAGTTCTTTATATATTCTAGATGCAAGACTTTAATCAGATATGTGAATTGCATATATTTTCTCTCATTATGTGGTTATCTTTTCATTTTATTTATGGTATCCTTTGAAACATAAAGGTTTTAATTTAGATAATATACAGTTTATTTTTTATTTTGTTGTTTGTGCTTTTAGTGTCATATATGAGACATGACTGTCTAATGTAAGGTCATTAGAATTTCCTCCTATGTGTCTTTCTAAGAGTTTCATATTTTTCTCACTTACATTTAGATCTCCAATTCATTTCTAGTTAATTGTTGTATATGGTGTGAGGTAAGGGTCCAAAAGTATTCTTTTGTATTGGGATATCCAGTTGTCCCAGCCCATTTGTCAAAAAGAATACTCTTTGAGCACTGAATTGTTTAAGCACTCTTGTCAAAGTCATATTGACCATAAATGTGAGTGTTTATTTCTGGATTCTCAATTCCATTCTAATGCTCTGCATGACTAAAATTATTAACTTTACCACACTATTTTTTCTAGCTTTGTAGTAAGTTTTGAAATCGGGAAGTGTGGCTCCTCCAACTTTGTAATTCATTTTTCAAGATTTTTTGGCTATTTTGTGTTACTTTCATTACCATATGAATTTTAGGACCAGTTTTCCAATTTCTGCAAAAAAAAAAAGCAAGCCAGCTAGGCTTGCATATATAATTTTAAAAAATGATAAAGTTATTAATCTTAGAAGATATACTTGCTACCAAAATACTAAAGCTCTTCCTGAAATTTTGTATAGATATACTGATTTACTATAATGGCTTACCGGTTTTGAAAGAAATTGGATTATGCAAATACTTTCTGAGACGGAGTACAATAGGATATAATTGACACAAGAGGAAATTATTGAAATAGATAAGTGCAGGAACAGTGCTCCATGAAGAAAACACCAGCATGTGCTGGCACACGGATGTACAGGAATAGTGGCGTTTTCAGGAAACTATGAGCATTCACTAGAACTGTATATTAGGCTTTATCATGCAAAATGAATCAAAAGAGGTAATGATGGGGAGATTATGAATCATCAGTTACTGATATGGCTACAGGTTCCCTTTTTAAAGACTTTTAAATTCTGACTCAAAAAATTTAATCATGTGATAAAATAAGTATCCAAAATATGAATAATACATAAATGAATAGTAAATCTCCTTAACCTGGAAAAGAAATGATATCTGAGATAGGATTGGCAGGAAGCTCATTGACTCGAAGATCCAACATACAGTTTCAAAGCATTGTTTAAGATGGAAATAACTGTATTATTTCACATCACAAGTAGCAGACATTTTTGCTGCATGTTGCAGTCATGTTGGCAGGGGCCCCAACATTACCAGCAGGCTGCACTGATTAGAACTAAAAAGTACGCAGCTCCCATCTACTAACTCTTTCATTATACAGAGTAGGTGGTTGAACTTCAGAGATATTTAGGAACTCCAGGGTTCCTGCTGTCATATTCAGTGCTGTATTTTTTTCAAAAATCTCTATTCCTTTGTAGATTAGGAGTCTAATGAGAAATGAAAAAGGGGGCAGGTAATTATAGTACAATATGACAGTATTTATAATTGAAATAGTCCTGGGCATATAAGAGAAATGGTACCTCAGGGAGCTGGCGGGAATTAAGGAAGAAAAGCTTCACTGAGGCGTGGCATTTGAGCCGAGACTTGAAAGGCAGTTCCTGAGATAGGTAAGAATAGGCATGGTGCTCCAAACAGCACACAGCCTGAGCCAGTACAGAGATGTGGGGGAATACTGGTGTTTTTTGGAAACTACAAATATTCACCAGAGCTGTACCATAGGCTTGATGGTGCAAAATGAGCAGAAACAATGAGATTATAAAGGATTTTGCATGCCATGCAAAGAGTTAAAATTTAATCTTGTGGAGTTTCATTGTATAATTTCCACCTAAATGACATAATCAGATTTGTTCCAAGGACCCTTCTGTTAGTGATGCGGAGGATGCATCAGAGAGCAATGGGACTAGAGGCAGGAAGACTGGAAAAGGAGCGTGTTGCAGCATAACAGGAGTGACACATGGGGGTCTAAATTAGAGCAGCAGCTACAGAAATGGAGAGGGAGACACAAATGCAAGAGATGGAAGAGGCAAAGTTAATGGGACGTGCTGATTGATTACATATGAAGCATGAAGGAAAAACAGGATGTAAAGCAAGTGATCTATTCCATTTTCAATTTTCCTAGTCCTTCCTATAAATGTAAAAGAAAGTGATATTTATAATTTTTAAATGCATTTAGAACATGCAAATAAAATAGATTAAAATATCAGGATCCTTTCGGTGATAAGAGTCTTACATAATATTAAGTGTATTATATTATATTGAGTCATATTAAGGAAAACTTGTATTTTCTGCCTTTCCTGAAACCCAGCCACAAGCATAAGTAAACACATCTGGATGAATGATGCCTTGAGGAGAACTAAATCATGCCAAGATGTTTCACGGTGTAGATTCTCATCACTTTGTTACTTGTACCTTTTCAAGGTGTATAGAAGAATTATGAGTTAAGGAGGGAATGTAGAAAAGAGATGTAGAAATGAAAAATGTAGCCATGAAAGCCTGCCTCATGCCAATTAAGTCTTGAGCTTTTATTTTAATAAAAATCACAGGCAAAACAGTCCATCTCTTGGGACAAAGGCACACATCACAGATAACACATACAAAACAGTTTGTGGTCAATACAGTCAATACTTTCTGGAATTCTGAGAAATTATGGTCACATGTGCCATTAATGGATTGATTTTTTTTTTTAGTAAAATGCACAGGAAGATGTATGAGTGGGAAAGTATAAAGCAGACAAGCCTCACACCCTTTCCACTCATGGACTGGCAACAGCATGTGGGAGTGCTGTCTTTATAGAGTGATTTCTTTCGGCTTTCCACATTTTATAAGTAAACAAAAAATAAATATTAAAAAAATAAAAAAGGAAAGAAGGTATTCCATTCAAAGGTTGGAAACACTGGATTGAACACAGTTACACAGGTCATTTACTGTAAGATTTAGTAGAGTTTTTCCTAATGAGTTGTAAATTGCCAAGAGGAAGACAGTGCATAGCATTTTGAGAGGAGCACAGTGAAGCCATATACCTAGTAGGCCTCTACAGGGCAGGGACAAAACGATGAAAACGTTAAGTCAGTAAGACAGAACATGTATGTTCATTTTATTTATTTGTTCTTCATGTGGCTGGGGGCAGGGTAGGACTGACAGGAAAGTATCCAAAAGGGGTATTGCCTAGAAGATGAGCTTGAAGACAGTGTGGCTCTGGGCCCTTGATGTCTCTGGCAAGTTGAAAGGCAGGGACTAGGGTGCTGAAGATACCAGCCCGGTATAGAAATCTACATCTGAAACTGTGGATCCACATCTTGAAGTGTTATACGTAAAATACATGAATCCACATGCCAAATCAATTTACGCTCACCCCATTTAGCATTCGCCATTGGAACTGAAGACATGATTGGAAAGTGAGTTTTTTCCCCCAATTTCATGCTACCATATTAGCTATCATTAAGCATTTCATAAATGACATACAACTTTCAAGTCATTTGCAATTTAATTTACCAGAAGTCAGTATCAAGACCAGCGGGAAAAAGAAAATAACTGCTCAAAAGCACTGGAGACAAGAGGCAGAGAGGCCTCAACAGAAATGTTAGCTTTCTACCTGTCTTTTGAATGTCACTGGCTTTTGCATAATGAAAATCATGGCAACACGACATTTTATTGCTTTCATTTTCTTGGAGTTCAAAAGACAATTCTTGCACACGCACACTCAGTTTCTCCCCAAAATAGCCGCATTCTTTTATTTGGTGATTCAATACATTTTTAATTCAAATAGTCACCACATATCCTAGGCACAATATTAAGCATTTTACAAGCAAAGTATTTTACTGATTTTCTTTTCAATTGCCAAAGAGTACAATAAGTGAACTGGTTAAAGGATATACTTCTGTACATAAAAATATCCATGTATTTATACAAGTGTATGGAACAGAGTTCAAAGATAATAAAACCAGAACATCACAATAAATAGGATGTGTTCCTACAGGACAGCAAAGCACACTTTGTCAGGAAGCTGTCAAGTCTCTTTTTTTGAAGGTGCTTTATGTTCTTCTGAGCTAGGCTCACATTTCCCAAAATAAGGATTAGGGGTTAGTAATGACTGATCTGAATGCCTACTTTCACATGTGACTTTTAATTTGCATCTCCAACAACAGGAGTGGAAGATATGATAATTTATTTTCAAAAAGTCTTTGCAACTTACCAAATTCTATTGATCTCCTGCCTCATTATTTTAAAATGCAGATTCATCTAAGCTCTAGCACCATACGAGAATGAAATACATGTATTTTTGTCAGAGCAACAATATTTTATATCATCTTTGTTCCTCTGGCTATAACAATTCTGTTTAGAAAAATTTACCAAGCTAAAAATAGTTGATCTAGGTTGTCATAAAAAAGAATATTAAATACCTTTGGTAAAAATAGATATATTTAACAAGATTAGAAAAGCAAACAGTTATAATGTCAAAAGGAGAATATAAAAATGTACACAATAAAACAAATAAACCAACTTATAGATAAAGTGAAGGTAAGGCCACTCTTCTTTTCAGGTTTGTCTCTTCCAAACCATAAATGTAGTTCTCTTCTTCTAAATGGCAGAAATTTTAACAAGAAATATGGAAAATCCAGTCTTTCCTATCAGCATGACACAAGTTTAATTCATAGCAACATAGGTCCTTTTTAAAAACCAAGTTTGTAGAACATAGAACACTCTGGTTTATATATGTGAATATAGGGAAGAAATTCCAGATTTCTGTGATTTTAGGCCCAGAACATGGAGCTTTAGAGTTAAGCAAGGCAACAGAATCAGGTGCTCATCTGCACAGTTTTTCCCGTACTGACATTAACCTAAGTCGTATCATGACAATTGAAATACGGAACACAGCTAGCTGAGGAAGCGCATGGTAACTCTCTAACTAGCTAGTGATCTACAACATTTAATTTGTTTCCACGACTGAAGACTTTTCTCCTGTCATGTGGGCCTCCTCTCAAAAGAGCTGTTGCACAACTCCTAATTCCGTTTGGTGTCTCCTCTTAGAACACACTGTAAATCCTGAAGATGAAAGGTCCCTGAAGCAAACAACTGAGATTATGGATGAAGATAATGCGTAAGTTCTACAACAGAATCAACCACGGAGCTGTACTGCTCTGGGAGATGGCGAAGCGGTTATCCTCCAGAGTTCCCTCTGCATACACAGTCACACTCCTCATGGTGCTCCAGGGCCACATCCGTGAGAGATTTATGCAATCCCCTGACACCATTCTTTGGTCTCAACTGAAGGACCTGAAAGGGAACAAGGGAAGCCACCTTTAAAATCAACCAATGTCTGTAACTTTTGATTTCATGGACAAGGAAATTTCCGAAAAGAATCCTGGGGCCCAACGGAGACGTACAAATTTTAATTTCTTCCTAGTGAAGGCAGTGTGAACACATTCCCCCACTCCTCAAAAAAATCATAAACGATCATCATTTCATGAAAGAAAGGACATTTTATCACCAACGAATTGGAAGGATGCTGCCTCAGAATAAAGAAAAGTCATTAAATTGAAAAGACTCACTATATACTCTTTATTTTGCTCATCTAATGATACAACAGAGAATTTCACCTTGATTAAGTATTCTGGAACCACCGCTGCACAACTGATTTTTCTGTTTGTTGCTTTCTTTCACTCATTCATTTATTCCCACATTTAACAAATATTTATACTAGAAGCAATACATGCAAGGACTGCAATACTGTGACAAGAAACATGATCCCTCTACAGCTGAGTTTGCTCAGTTATGCCACTCATTAATTTCCTTGGCCACACTTCAGGTCCTCTATAAACTGGATGAGACGGATTAGATGTACTTTCTAGACAGCAGCCTCTGTCACAGCTCACTTTCTGCAGCTGGATCCTACCGTGCAGTACACGGAGGTTTGGCAATAATAACAATCATGCCTCTATTAAATGAAGCTAGCTGCAGTTTGGATTGTTGAGTTTTTAACCAAAAATGTAATAAAATAGACGCTGATACTACTAAATACTAAACATATTTTCTTTTGACACTGTGACAAAAGGACATAGCCATGTATTCCATAAAAGATTGTCTACAGTATTTGATGAGAACTACCTATTCAATGTGTATTACATTTTATTTCTTATAATAGAAGTGATAAAGTTTCAGGAATTGTTTTTTTGAATTATGAACAAAGGCCAGAGCACATAATCATAGGAAGTTGTCTAGTTTCTCTTCTCTCTGTGTATGACACAGATAACTTCACAGAGTTCTAAAAGATACTGATCTTCTAAAAGATACTGTTCTGGAGATTTTCATTAATCCAAAAAAGGCACAAGTCGTCTTACAACTGTTCTACTTAGATTTAAAAAAGAAAAATAGAGAATGTATACCTCACTTAGACTATGTGATCATATCAAAGGTTAATTAGCTAACATTTTTTGAATGCTTACTGGGTGCCAGGCACTATAATAATGTTTTTACATACTTTAACTCACAAGAATTCTATGACTTAATTTACAATTATTACCCTTATTTTACACATGAGTGAACAGAAGCTTAGAGAGAATAAGTGACAGAGCCAGTATATGTACTTTGGCCAAATATGAATTATTAAAAGTTAGAATGATAGATAATTTTACAAGAGACTCAGAATATTACTAGTCATACATTCTATTTATTTCGTAACTTTCTTCCTAGAGAGAGAAACTGTCGAGTTTGTAATAACTGTGAACAATAGTAAACTTTTAAAGTAGATTTTCTATCTATTACATTTCACAACTAAGAATAAAAATTACTAAGACTGTGTTGTTTTAATGTGAAACTTAACCTAATGACTACTGAATATTGTTTTATGTGTTAGTACTGACACTGTTTTCGGACAACATAAGGTGGTATCAAAACTACTCTCACGACACTGGTGCTGTATCTTATTATCACACTCGTTACAAATAGTTTCTGGAATGAGGTTTGGTGGATAGAAAAATTACAATATTGGCAGAGCCAATGTCTTTAATTCTTATCTCTAATTGTATACATTTTCCCAGTTGGCAAGGAAAAAAAATTCCTATGAAGGTAAAGGTTACAGAGGCCACCATATGCAGCCCTAACAGTCAGTCATGCCAGTCGACAAGCCTACAAACCTTCCTTCCTTTAGCGGTGCTTGAGATGCACTCACCAAATAAAGAGCCTCCCCACTCACAAAGGTTGAACAAAACTCAATGAAAGTGCTAAAAAAATCCAAAAGAGGGAATAATTCAGTTTTATTTATAGTAACACAATGACTATAATACAACTTAATATTTAGGGAAACATATAATCGAGATAGATGGAGAGAAAAATTAGAATTTCTAAGCCTTATCTTTGTTTCTGCTTTCTCCACGAGTGGAACAATCTTCAGACTGAAAATGGGGACAATGGTCATCAAAAAGAATTAAAGCCCCAGATGGGCTTCACTTTAAAAAGAGTTAAGTCTCTAGATCCAGATTAATAGTATTCAATGACTTAATGATCTTACAATGATTTTAAGTTACATTTAAAAAACAACTTCATTTACTTAGGAGTAGTACTAAACTCAGAACTTTTTTCCAAAATGTAGGACTGAGAAAAATTTAAGCCTCAGAAATTATCAATTACACCAAATAATCCTTTTTTCATAGAGTAATTTGATTGTTAACAGAAAGACCATCACAGAAAAATTAATGATTCCCATAAAGCATTTTAAAGAATTAAGACATGATTTTTACTGGAGATATTTGTGAGAAATGTGGAACAGGTAACCGTATAATTATATTTCTACACACATATACTTTAGAGATATTTGTGGGAAACGTAGTAGATGGTCATATAATTAAACATCCAAAGTTGTATGTGTGTACATATATAATGTGTATATTACCAATCCCACCCAAAGATTGGTGAATAATAGATTAATGTCATTCTGGGAGAAGGCCAGTGAGTCTATAAATACTGCCCATAGCCTTTCCCCATCCAAGACTTTTATCTGAGACTTTAAAACAGATATTGCACACGCTGTGGCAACTTTCTGGATAACCCTAAATCTAATGTTATTTGAAAAGAAATTTAAAAGTATAGGATGGAGAAGGATACATTTGACCTGAGGGCTGATTTAGCTGACCAAAAGTATGATACTGATTTAGCATCTGATAAGCTTGTTTTAAAAAGCTAATACAACTGCTCGGGGGTTTTATAGCTCTTAGAAGGGTGGTTATAAACCCAAGACTTGTTGGCTAAACCAGGTCCCCAAATACACTTTGTTTAGTAAGGACATGCTTTGGAAAGTTCAAAATTGAATGATTTTAGGTGGGAAAAGATCACTCTTGTTTAATTCCTATTTCCATCATATCCTTTTATATTATGCCAATGAACTCTAGTATCTGCTTAGATATTAGGCATTTTAATTTTCATCTAAGAACTATTCTATTAAGTTTTTTTTTTGTGACTAGATTCCCTGTTCAGAGTAGCAATAAGGCTGGCTTCTGGGCACGGCCTGGCTGGAGCTCCTCGAGCCACCAAGGGGGGTCTTCAGAAGCATGTGGTGTAGAAATGGAAGTAGAACACGAATAATGGCAGTATACGGTCCTTTTTTAATCACAGACTGCCAGTTTTGGATGTTACCTTCTAAACACTGCAATCTAGTAGCCGTCATGGAATACCATAGCTAGGAAAAACCTGAGAGATTATATCTTACAGAGGCTAAGTCCCCTGCTGATGGCTACAACAAGTCAATAGTAGATTTAGGATATAAACAGAATCCCTTCTCTTCTGGAATCCAGTGCTTTTTTCCCGACTTCGTCAGCTGCCAATACAACACCAGTGAAGGACAGGACAACCAACCATGTTACATGAAATGCAGTTTATGACACTGTGCATGCTTAAGTCACCTAACAGATAAGGGTTTCACTGATGTCTTTATGCATATGAAAAGTCATTTTATTTATTAAGTAGATATTTATTCTGTATTATTCTTTTATTTAGTAGAAAAAATAAAAACTAATGAAACGAGGTCATATTAAAATGAAGTCAGAGGGCAGTTTTTGGCTTGGTATAATGTAAACGTTTTATAAGAATTAAAGTTGAATCATGAGAAGGGATTGCTTCCTGAAGTATGAATGCTACATGAGGCTGCTGGAGAGAAGATAGGATATAACTGGGATATGTTCCAGCAGCAACAGAAATTTCGAGTGTATAAATTCTAAGGTTCCCAAGGCTCTGAAAGACAATAATTACTAACATTTAATATTATATTTTCCTTAATTCCATAGAATAAAGAGATAAAAGGGTGAAGAATCCATGAAAAGTTTAACATGGCATTTGGCGGCACTGTGAATACCAGAAGACTGGTATAATTATGAATACGTCTTCTTGGGATTCATGAGCCCACGGTGCCTCAAATGAAAAAATAAATATTAAAGATCCTTCTCCAAAATAGAAAGCAATTTACCTCCAAGTTTGTCTTTAAAATATTTTCCCTTCATATTTTGAAAAGTTGAAAAGTTGAAAAGTTGAAATATTTCACCTATGTTTTTGTCTCCACAGAAGAACACATTTTTTTTTTTGAGAAAGAAAAACTTCAGTGACCATCCATGATGTACTATCAGCGGATAAGCTTTCCAAATCCTTAACGTCTGCGTTTTTGAGTTAAAGGTTCTAATTTAAAGAAATGAAACTATGAACTATTTTAGAAATCCTTTTACTCCCCCCATGAATGCTATGTCTCCTTTCTAAACAAAATCCATTTCAGACACATTGTTTCATTATTTTCTTAGAGACAAAACACCGAAAAAAAGAATCTGAAAGGAACCTGAAAAGAAAATGATATACCTACCTCATGATATTTTTTAGTAACTTTGCTTGGGACACACTGACACTCGTTGCAATTGTGAAGGCAACAGGCACAGTTTCCACCGCAGCGTTTAACCAGGAGACAACCTGGCCAGAAAATGGTATCGGTTCTCTTTAGTTCTTCCCTTATGGACACCGAGAAGTTACGAGGTGTGCAGCTGTATAATCTTACCTCCTCTTTCAGAAGGTTCAGATCCACCACTACATGGCACAAAAGAAAGCAAACAAAAAGAGATGGTCATGCTTTGAGCCTGGATATATTTCATTAAACTCTTTTCATAAAGAAGTCTAGCTATTGCATGAAGAATAACCCTAACAATATCCCTTCTTATTTTAACTAGGTTTTAGGGCTATGCAGCTCGCAAGTTGGACTTTGTCTTTCATAGTAAACAAAGCTTCATTATGACTTAGTGACCAATAAAGAGATACATTGTGCAATATTAAGAACAGAGCCAACAAAACAGTTGAGAGCTATTAATAGGAAACTTCAGAGAGAAAAAGAGGGCTACACCTTTTAACCTTAGTAACGAAGTCAACAAGGAGAGCATTGGCGGGAAGAATAGAATGTAAAATGATGGATGCTTTGACTAAAAAATAAATGCAATTTTTAAAAAGATTACAAGCTCATGCAATTAATGAAGAACAATTTACAGACACTTGTTGACAGAACTTTCTACAATCTTTCTGGCAATAAGAATCACAAAATGTAAAAAGGGGGTAAAGAAAATGAATTTTTAAAGACAGCTGAGTGAACCAGGAGTGAAAAAAAGGAGGCATTTTAAAAGAGCGTAAATTGTTGGAAAGCACTGCTTTTGGTGCGTTGCGTAATTTATGCTGTTTAAAATTTAGTTTAACTAGGCTCCCTAAGAATTCTATTCTTGTTCTAAGGGATGGAAGAAATGCCTAATTTATAACTATTGTCTCTATTCTTTTAGCAAGTTGGTTAACTATGTTGTGCTTTATTCTTTAAAAGAATACCTACTTGTGAAGACCAAACAAAATATCCTTTCATCAGATTATTGCAGTGAATTCTCAAAGAATCATTGTTTTTAACTACAAAAGGATATTGCCTCTGTTAAGTTATAGCAAAATAACGTCCTATTTAACATTCATTTATATATAACATACGAAATGTAGTTAACTTCAGTGGATAACATATAACTCACCAGAGCTTTTTTTCTTTAAAAGTAAGGGTTTTATTAAAATTTAGGAACATTACCTAAATATAACAAATCCAGTTAAATACTTTTTCACTAATATTGGAAACATTATAAACAAGAATTGAAAGAAAAGAAAAAATGCTTTCTGGTTAAAGATGGCTTCAAATCATAATAATCACTATATAATCCAGTTTTAAAAATTAAGTGCCAATATTTTTTCAAAGTTTAAAAATGACAAGGTAATTAAGAATCAAATGCTTATTTTCTTGGCTATTTTACTTGCATATGCGATCAAGTTTTTCTAAAACGTCAAAAAAAGTCAAAGTAAGTATTTTCAAGAAATGTATTATAAATTATGTATATGCAATAGTAAATTATAAGACATGTAAAGTATATGGTTGACTAAAACCTTGGGTGATACAGGGACACACGAAGGAAATGCTAATTCAATAGGTTTCTTTCAGCATCCCATTCTGGTAAAAATTATTTTTTCCAGCTCAGTAGAAAATTACTGTTTTATTTGAGCATTTAAAGAGTTCCTTTTCATCCAAAAAATAATCCTATGAAAAGAAAACTTTTAAATATTTAAGAGAAAATTTTGAGTGCCATAAAAGACCAATTTATCTCTAAAATAAAATTCACGAGATCATTAGGTTAAATGATGTCACTATTTCACCTGATTTGATTTTGCTGGACTAATAGTATATGTACATATTGCTCTTTCATTGTTATAGCTATAGATGAGCCTATTTCAATCTTTTCTCTAGAAGTTAAATATCTGGGCAAGGAGGGAGAAAACCCAAAACACACACACACGTACAAAAGCTGGCTGCCCAAATCTTCAATGCTTATTTAAGATTTATACTTCTTTAGAATGTGAATGAAGCTCTTAGCTTTCAAAGGATATTCATCTACCTCAAATAGGTTTAAACACACTATTTCATGAAACAAGAAAATGAGACTGTGTATGTTCACTTTAAAATGTTTAGTTAACCACAATAAAAGGTTAGATAGATTTCCCAAGCGAACTCAGTTATGATACCTGCTACAATGTGAAAATTTAAACACACTTTCAACTTAGCTTCCACTCATTTATCATGATTGACACAAAAGTCAAAAGCCCTTTTAAAGTACTAGTTAAGACTGACTTACAAAATATGGTATATATATATTTTTTCTGCAAGTAGTAAGGTATGAATGAAAACCTGAACCAGAAGAAGAAAGGGGAAATGACAAAACAGAAAAACATTAATGCAGTCCACACTGGACTAAAAATACAATTAAGGATTTTAAATTTGGTGTATCTTATTTGAAATTCATGCTTCTTACTTTTAAGGCTTCAACCTTATCTAAGCTTCATTAAAATAAGTCATGTGACTAAAATCTGATGTCATAAATTGTCCAAACATTGTACAGAACTTCTAGGCAAAAAAAAGAGAAAGATTACGTCCCAACATATTTTTCTAATAACTTAACTATAATATTATGAAAATTTCTCCCTGCAAAATATTTGTAAAGTAAGATTCAGCCTTCAGATTTTTGTTTTCCTTTTCATAACTACTTCCTAAAACAATACATGCATTAATTTATCCCGCTGAAGGATGATTTTGAGCATGTGAGCGATGAAAGCTGCTATTTCTAATACAAATTTTCTGGTTCACATTCATCAGTATTGCAAGTTTTATTAAAAAGGTTAATACTGACTGAAAAAAAAATTACGGTCACATTTTACTGTGTTAGTTGTTCATTCTTTTAAGATATTCAGCCCAAGGATATTCTCTTACTGTAATGCAATCTGAGGGTGGTCTTTCTAAGATGAATGTGGTAACACTGTGATGTGTTTATTCTGTGGAAAATCTATTTTGATGTCTAATTAGAAGCTTTTAACCATTTTACTCCTTGTTCCTTTGTAGAAAGACTCTTGGGAGGGGAGCTGGTTTTGTCTATATAGATGTTATCCCACACCTGCATTTTAGTTTATGTAAAGTTCTAAAAATATACACTGCTTTTCTCACACTTACTGTATGCTTAAAAAGTTAATAGTTTTGGCAAACTGCAAAGGGCTTCAATTTGGAAAGTGCTAAATGAATATTTGAAAGATCTGGTTCAATGCTGGATGCTTTTAAATACATGCCAGCCGCTGGCCAAATCTTCGCTGAGCACCATGTGCAGAGGTATAGGCATAAAAGCATGGCTGGATGGGAGATTTTTAGGCTGGAATCCTGAGATCAGCCGTCAAAAAACAAGATCTGAGTTTAGAACCTGGTTTACTCGCTCAGCTTCTCCCAGATCAACATGATAATCTACTTGAAATTTGCTAACAAAGGCTTTATTCATGGGTGTTTCAGCTGGCCTTGCAGATCTCCCTCTTCCTGTTCCTAAGTGGGAGGGAAGGGAAGTGTTGTTCGTAAGTTATTCATCAAGTTATTCATCAAGATCAAATCTTATAAATATGTAACAGCTTTCAGCATCTGGACAAGATTCGGCTGCCCATGTACTTGGAGACTGATTTCAAATATTGCTGAAAGGAAACCACGTCTGTTGGCAGAGCAAAATACCACGGTTGGGCAAGTCTGAACATGACCTGCTGAGATTAAAGCTGCTGATCCAAATGGGCTGCAGGGCTGCAGCTTTCAGAGGGAAAGGGCAGGAATCCGGTTTCTTTCTGACAAGATTTACAAGAACGAGTCTGGAGCAATCTGCCCTCGTGAATTGCTCAAATTAACCAAACCTTATTCCTTCTATATAAATTCTCCAGACTGTCATTCCACTCTCTAAAATGACCCTGGGTAGATTTCAATGTTTCTGACAGACAGAAGCAGATTTTTTGGGTGCATTATAATTATCCAGTTATTTCTATTACATTTCCATTTATGCCTGATATGGATGCGTTCCAATTCTAATGTTACTAGGAAAATGAGCTAACCTTGGAACAAACTCAGTTAACGTTATTTTCAATTTCTTAACCATGCGGAATTAAGTTTAATTATCAACACTCTCACTCTTGAAGACAGATAGGCTCATGTGGTCAAAAGTGATCATTTCAGAAGCAATTTATATGGAGAAAAATTATCATAGTTTGGGTTTCTTTAGGTCATTATTTTCTTGCTATGAATCCTATCTTGAAAACTACTAGCTCTATTTTATGGCAAGTCACTGTTATTTTCATATTATTTAGAAAAGTTTCAAGGCTTAGGAAATGAAAATTAATATAATCCTGACCCATGGGGACATGGTGGATAATGATTTTGATGTAGTGTTCCCCTTCCATAGCCCCAAATCTGGTTTAGGAAATATAATAATAATCCTCTTGAATCTCTAAATCAATATATCCCAAGTATTAGGTTTGAATAAGCAATGATTCTTGTGAAATGTAACTGAGGACTTCATCAAAATGGTATTTTTAAATTGAAGAAATGATAAGAATTTTCAGCAAAAGTATCTCTTTTAATTTCCAAATCCACTGAGTTATAATTAAGTGCCTATTTTTGTAGGTATTCTTATTTAATATGTAATATGCTCAAATGTTATGAAAATAGATTGTTGAAATACATCACTGAAGAGTTTTAAACTCTACTCACGGGAAGATATGGCAGAAGAATCTGAAACATTAGCTGCTAAGAAGATTAAATGAGGTTCTAATCTGAAGAGAGAGCTTACCTCTGGATTTTCTTCCAAATACAAAAGCCTTGCCAAGAAGTTGCCAAGTTGGCCTATATAGATCTTCTAAGTCCAACTGCCATCTATCTGGTTCAAGATACCGAATAAGATCTTCCAAGGTACTAAAGGCAGTGACAGCGTTATTAAGCAGGTCCAGTGGCAAAGCTGAAGGGGGTAACGCTGAAGGACTCACAGCTTCTGTGAATTGCTGAAAGCAAAACGAATCCTATGTTAACTGTTTTAAAAATGACAATGTGTTCCTTCTGGACTTAGGCACAAAGTTAGGTAGACTAAGACTGAAAACACACGGGAACTGAAACTGTATTCAACGCAAATTAGAAGTAAGTACTTTGCAAAGACTTCATGGAGATGAACTCTGATAGATTTTCTGGGCAAGTCAATGAGAAAGACATTAACTTTCATTGCCAAAAACTACGGTGAATGTGGATATCTGTTGCTTAAATAAAAAAAGAACACGTCTCTAGTCTCTATGGTTCAATTACAGACTTACATTGGAAACTGTAATACAAATTACCAAACTTTTCTTTTGTTTTCTACTTTTTGTTTTCCTCAATCTGGAAATCACCTGGTAGTAATGCAAATGGATGTCAGATAAATTAAAAATTTAATATAAAATAATAAACCCACAAAGAATTAGAACAAAATATAGGTGAAAAGCCTTTGACATTGGAGAAGAACTTGTTAATCAAGACAGAAAACACACAAACCATAAAAGATAACTTTGATAAATTTGCCCGCAATTTCTTTTAATTAACAGGATTAAAAGACAGACACTGGGAGAACACCCTGGCAAATTATATAACTGTCATCACAGGATTCGTATCCAGAGAATACAGCAAAGGAAATAGCTCAATAGAAAATGGGCAAATTCCAGACAAGAGGCTTGAATGGCCAATAGGCATATAAAAACATGCTAAAATTCATTAGTTATCAGAGAAATGCAAACCAAAGTGAGATATTATCTCACATATTAAAAAAAGTACTATTTCATATACATGAGATTGGCAAGCATTTAAAAGAAAGGACTGCCAAGGATGTGGGTAAATTGGAATTTCTCTGCTCTGCCTGCAGGAGTGTAAACTGGTACAACCACTTCAGTTGATGTAACCGGTGTACACAGGATACTAGAGTAGAAGATTTATGTGCTCCATGTCCTTGTAATTCACTTTTGAGGTTTACATCCTTTTATTTGTCCATGTACAAATATCTTCAACGACATTCATCACAGTGTTGTTTGAAATAGAGAAAAACTGCAAACCTAAATGGCCATGTATAGAGCAATGGATTAAAATGCCTCGTTTTAAATGGCAAGCAACAAAATGAGACAACAATTTCAATAAAAGTTCAATAAGAACACCCCTCCCTCCAATTTTCAAAGTGGACTAAGGGTAGGGAGTAGTGGATCAGACCTGAGATAAAGGTAGGCAAAATAAATATATGAACAAATGCTCAACTTTTGTTTTATTTATTATTTATTATTACTTTTTAGGACAGGAGGAGAGAGGCAGAGTATGGAATAAAACCTTTTTGTTGACTGATGTTCATTATAGCAGTATTTATAATAACAAAAAGTTAGGGGAAAAAATTTAAATTTGCAATAGTGGAATAGTTAGTTCCATTGTACTTATCAACTGAAATAGTGTACAGCCATTGAAAATGAGGTCCTCTAAGAATTTGTATTAACAAAAGAAATGCCCATAATGTAGTAAATGACACAAAAAACCAAGCTTTAGACATATAGTTCAGTATACCATTATTTCAACATACATAAATTAAAACAAACAAAAAATCAAAAGTGCCTAAAATGTCGAGTGTTCACCTATGGTTTAAATGAGAATATACATTATATATTATTATATATGTAATATATAATATTATACATTATATAAAACCATACTTTCAACATTTTCTATAATAAACATGGATTTCTTTTGAGGTCTGGTAAAAATAATAACATTTGTTATAATAAAAAAAGACCACCATATCAGCTCTTCCTTTCCACCCTCATTACTCGGATCATGGGCTAGATACTGAAAATCATGTGCCATATTTAACAGCTTCTAACTTTGTCTCCTTACCTCAATCTTTCCTTATTCCTTTTATTCTATGCCGCATAACCCTGGGTTAATCTACCTAAAATAAGTTATCGCTGATCATACGATGAATTTGGACAAATGCCTAGAGTGATTTCTCATCTGGAGGATAAAATCCGAATTCCTTACCACGCACTCAGGATCCTTACAGTCTGACCTTTGCTCCCCTTTCCCATCTAATCCTCTACTCATCAAAGACATGCACATTTTGTTCCAATCAATCTAGTCTCTTCACTAACTACTGCACTTGTCATCTTCATCCCAGACCTTGCATGTCCTCCCAAGCTAAATGCTCCAATCCTTGCCCCAAACGCAAAACTCTCCCTCCTGTGATCCACACAATAAATCTTCACCATTTATAATGGTCTTTCTTGAAACCCAATTCATCCATGAAAACTTCCTCAATGACAGAGCCAACTCTGTCCCATATATCTCAACTGCGTCCATTTGAGAAAGATTCCCTCCCTGGGCTATCCTTTGGGCATGAGTTGAAAAGCAGAAGCTGCTCCGTCAATTAGAGAAAGGAGTACTGTTCTCTGGGGCAGGCACCGCCCCAGCTGGGGCTCACAGCTTTGTGGGTGCAGAACCCCCTTTGTCCCTGAGGCGGGCCATTTTATAGAGCATAACTGGTAGAAATGAATGTGGTAGCCTTGGGTCAACACTAACTTCTTCCTTATTTTAAAGATCTAATTTCAATAATGTCAAGATTCTGGCTAAGACATCAGCACTAAGATGTTTTCCATTATTCTATCCAACATTCGAGCATAGAAACCAAATTTAATACAGTCCTATTTACTCCCAGTATTTTGTCAATGAAATGTAAAATTGCTTTCATAGTATTATTAGGATTGTTAACAATATGATTGATATAAAGAAACAATTACCTAATAAAAGTTTTCATTGTTAATTTAACCAATTTGGTTAATGCTGATTAAATTTATAATGTGAAAAGGTTAATGCAAATATTTTGCAAATTTTAAAAATACAAGCCAAAATTTATACGTTTACATAAAGTGAGAATTAAAGGTCAGTAATACTCAAAGAATAACTGAGTAATTCCTCATGAATATGATGATATAAAACAAATCCGATGTGTCATAATCTGCACCCAGAGAGTAAATGTATAGAAAGCTAATACAGTGTACAGAAATGTATAGAAAGCTAATACAAAAAGTAGGTGTCATTCATTACAGTGTCCGAGTGTAGATGTATATTTTAGGCATGATGTGAAACTGTTACTTAAGCTATTTTCAATTGACCAGAACCCAAGAATGAGTTTGCTTATTTTGCTTCCACGTCTTTTGGAGACTCTGCATACGGCAGTCCTTTTGAAGCAATGACAAGTTTCAACCGAAATCAATATTGCTGCAATAAAGTTTAAAGTATTTATATGGAAGAAAGCAAAACAAAATAAATGTGCAATATTGGGCCAACAAAATATGCACATCTTGGGTTTAACGAAGTATTGGAGTATCAATCCCTTTAAATGACAAAGATTGAGAGAAAACAACTTGGTCTAAGTTACTGCATTCATATATTGGTTGATGGTCTAAACCTCCATGCTTTTAACTATTTAAATTAAAATAAAATAAATTTAAAAAGCGCGCGCACACACACACACCCACATTCAGCAGTCCCATCCAAAAAAGGAGGAGAAAATCAACTCACTTCCCCCGGATTCAAAGAATCAATCCTGGACAGAAGAGAGGAAGAAGTTCTGCTATTTCAGGGCTTTCTCATGACTGCCACCCCACCCACTGGTTCACGGAACAACCAAGTTGTTCACTTTCAAAGTTCTGCTTTTCTAAGTTGTACAAAGGGATTTTCAGAAAAGAGAGGGAGTCATGGAAAAAAGAAGTTAGAGGAAAAAATATGCTGTAAGGTTTTTAAGTTTTAATTCTTCCTCTAACCCCAAACTGCTCTTTTTGGTACAAGCTTATAGCCTTTTCTCCCGTATTTAGTGTCTGGAAAATTCTAACAATGTCTTTGGTATTTAAAAATACTTATGATTGGGCTAAGCACCTGCAATTGAACTGGATTTGCACTCCCTATCTCCTTTAGACACCATGAAAATAGATACTTATTACTAAGTTATGGATTGCTCTATGACTATCTAGTGGATGATAACAGTCAGTAATGGAAAGCAGAGTTTCTTGGTGTTCTGTATTGTATACAACTAAATCAACACCTCCACTTTAGTAAGCCAGAAGAAAGCTCTTCTAATATTACCTGCAGGGGAGCAGTGCTAACCTGGGTGGATAACCTAGTCCTACCATAGACTCTATCAGGTACATTACTTTGGAAGGACAGATCATGAAAGAGCAGACAAGGGATCCGAAATCTCTATGCAATGAAGTGTCATGCCAAACCATGTATTTCCAAAATGTCAGTACCATGTGTTAAGGATCCTCTGCAAAATGAAGTCTTTTAAATTCTTTGGTGAAAGTCATTCTGAATGACAGCATGATATGTGAAAACAACCCTGATCAGGAGTCAAGAAACCTGAACTGTAATCTTGGAGCTGCTCACATTTAGGAAACAGAATTTGGGCAAATACCGTAACCTCTGAGCCTCAGTTTCCTCCTCTGTAAAACATGGCTGCTAAACTCCTTGACCTTTAAGTTTCCTTCCAGCTTTTAAAATTAAGAATCCTATGTAATTGCCTGATACAAGAGGGTCCTTTTTCTCCATATCCTTGCCAACACTTGCTATCTCTTGTTCTCTTGGTGACAGCCATTCTAACAGGTGAGGTGATACCTCCTTGTGGTTTTGCTTTGCATTTCTCTGATGATTAGTGAAGTCAAGCATTTTTTCATGTACTGTTGCCCATTTGTATGTTTTCCCTGGAAAAATCTCTATTCAGATCCTCTGCCCATTTTTTAATCAGATTGTTTGGGAGTTTTTTTGGTTATTGAGTTGTATGAGTTTTTATTTATTTTGGATATTAACTCCTTATCCGATTTATGATTTGCAAATATTTTGTCCCATTCCACAGGTTGCCTTTTCATCTTTTGGATTATTTCCTTTGTTTTGCAGAAGATTTTAGGTTGATGTAGTCCTACTTGTTTGATTTTTGCTTTTGTTGCTGTGTTTT